CTCACAAGCAACTTGTTAAGCGCATTTTGGAGTGGGAAGATAAGGAAAGGAGGGCTGGTGTAGTACAGGATTACTGCTGTATATTTACAGTAAAATTTCTGACTCAAAGGAAATTCTTACGTAAAATAAATATAATTTTGAATAGGAACTATATACTAAAAATGAAAATTCCTCAAAGCTTTTCAGCATCAGCAATATAATGCTTTGGTTTACTATAATTAAAATGCTTCTTGTCAAGTGTCATTCTGACTGCTTCAATTGCAACTCTTAGAATAAATGTAGACATCTTCATTCGCATTGAATTCCAATATAATGCAATTGCCAAAAGGAACAATTGGAACATTTTTACTTTTTCCCCACCTAAAAAAATATTCAACTGACAATGACATGTTACTGTTTAACAATTTGACTGGTGTTTTCTCAATTTAGAAGTAATTTATTCCAGTTTTTAGTTAATGAAACTCTCGAGTATCAAAGTCCTTTTTGTGGGTGGGCTGCATGAATGGAGTTAAAGGGCCGGTAAGACTCAAACTTCTGCCTGCCCTATCTTCCCACCAGTCATACGACACTGCTGGTTTTGTCTGGGATAGAATTACCTTTTTTCACAGTAGCCACGGGGGGCCATGTTTTGGATTTGTGCTAAAAACAGAGTTGATAACACAGGGATGTTTTAGTTACTACTGAGCAGTGCTTACACAGTCACAAGCTTTTCTGCTTCTCACCCCACCTCACCAGCAAGTAGGCTGGGGGTGCACAAGGAGTTGAGAGGGGACACAGCTCAGCATATAAAGCTGGGAGAAGGAAGAGTGAGAAGTTCAGAGTGGTGGTATCTGTCTTCCCAAGGAACTGCTATGTGCGATGGAGCCCCGATTTCCTGGAAATGGCTGAACACCTGCCTACCAAAGCAAAGTGGTGAATTTAATTCCTTGTTTTTCTTTGCTTGTGCACACAGCTTTTGCTTCACCTATTAAACCGTCTTTATCCTCAACTCAGGAGTTTTCTCACTTTCACTGTCTGACTTTCTCCCCTCTCCCACCATGGGGGAGTGAGTGGCTGTGTGAGACCTAGTTGCCAGCTGGGGTTAAACCATGACACAGATGGAGGTAGAAGCCACATTCTAGTTGTCAGTAAACAGGGTGTTAAATGTATACCTCCTGAAAAGAAAACTCCTCACAGGAGCTACCAGCATATATGAGCAAATTAAGTGCTTGAGAACGATATATTAGCAAATTTGCAACATAGCTGAATCAACAGTATTTTTTTACAGCAGTCTCTTTTGGATTAAAGTGATCCTTTGGATTCTTTCACTGTTAAGTACAGATTCTACAAATTTATTTATGCAGTTTCATATCTGGAAATGGTATCTACAGCCATAAAATTGTGTGGTTTTCCAAATTTTCTGTTAAGGATACTGTATCTTCTTTGAAGCTGGCTCATAAGTTGATATCATCACTGTGCAGGCACCACAGCCACCTCCTCCACAGCCATACTTGGTTCCTGTAAGACGGACTGAAAACACTGTCATTAGGGAAAAAAAAATAATCAGGTTGCATTCTGGCCTTCATTCGGCACAAAAGCTTGAGGCCACCTTTTTGCTGAACCACTAAGGAACATACAATTGGTTTGGTATGACTGCATATGTATCAGACTCCTGTCTATGTTGGATTAAAATTTTCAGTGAAAGTAAGATTTAATCTAAGGAATGACACGACAAAAAACCTGGTCTCAAGAAAACAGAAAACTTGATTTCAACGTCTGTTGGAAGAGGAGTAAGTTAGGATAGAAAGAGGAAGTGAAAAACAGTTTCCCAATTGAAAATATGAAAGAAATGTGTAAAAGGCAAAATGGCTATATTCTTGAAGTTCCAATGGAACACTAAAAGCAATATCCCTTGTTTTCCCAGAGGGCCCATTCATAGTCATATTAACCTTGCCTCCCATCTGAAAAATCACACTTATGAGAGAAGTACTCATTTCTATGAATCTGTAGCAGTGGCCAGCCTGAACCTGTGAACTGACAAACAGCTAATTCGATGTTGTACAGCCACCAAAAGGAAGATGACTTACTCCCTCTTTCTTCTGTCCTTCCTCTTCATGCTCCAATATCCAAGATTTTTGCACCAAGTCTTTTTCTCACTTGTGTCTTCCGTGAACTAACTAATGATGAACTGACTACTTGGCAGCTGAGACCCTAATCCAGCTGGAACAGAGACTTATACAGAACTCCTACTCTATCAACCTGTACACACCAGCCAAAAGATTCTTAGGTTTCTTTATGGAGGCAGAGATACACACATATAGATCATGCCTGATGACATAACTTTGTTTAGGAAACTAGGCTAAAAATACAGCAGAGCAAGCAATATTTGGCTTAAGAAAGACATATAATTTAATATGGTTGTTTTATCTTAAGGGAGTCATAGCTTCTTTAACCTGGAAAATCATCTTCTAATTTCTGAGAATTTTGTTCTGATAAGGCTTTCAAAAGAGTGATGTATTTGAAGTGACTTTCAAATAAGGGAACAGACAAGAAAAGGATACGTCTCCTTCGCAGGTAAGATAACAGCATTTGTTCAGGATCAGCATTTTTCTCTATTACCTGCAGTAAGAAATGAAAACCAAGGTTTAACAAAGAAACCAAGGATTTTCAAAATACAGGGCACGGACTATATTCCCACAAAGCCAGAAGAGAATCCTTCTCTAGCTCCACCTCTTAGAACTAGACTAATTGCAAAGACCACAGAACAGTTTGGGCTCCTTCTGGAAATTTCTTCCCAGACAGATATGCTTTCCAGAAAAGAAGTGCCAGGGCACCTTGCAACTACTAAAAATAACTGTTGCTCAGTGAAAGGTCATACTGAGGCCACACTAGAAGTAAAAATGCAGGGGAATTTTGCTACTATAGAGGCAGCATAGCATAAAGAATGTTTTGCAGATTATTAGAGTGCCCCTGACACTTTAGTCTACTGGGATGACCACTAGAGAACCCTGTAAGACTATCATCAGGATCCAGTTTTCTTCTAGATTTACATAAACCTTCACTTGCTGTAACAGATCAGCAATAGAGAGCAACAGAAAAGTCCACATTCTTGTCTGATTACAGTATTTCTTATTCCATTGCTTAGAATCAGCTAGTCCATTCCACTTACATTGAATCACCAGCCAGTTTAATTCTTGCAATATTATCTTTGGCCAGTGTGTTGGCCAATCCACATTTTGGCACAAGTCTTGCTGACTTTCTGTTGTGCCTTTGAAACTCTAATGCCATCTGATACTTCTCCAATACCATTGAAGATGGGAAGCCGGGCATTTACACATGAAAAACTAGTTTGCTTACCGGCCAAATTTGATAGCCAACTGAAAATTCATTTCCTTTTGATGTGTTTTTTCCATCAAACGCAGCAGAGCTTGCTGTATGCAGAAGAGCATAGTAATATGTGGGGGTGGATTCACTTCCTACGAGCAAGGAGATGGAGTGTTTCTGGAAGCTTGTGTGAGCATTCAGTTAAGTCTGGGGAAAACAAATCCGTGCCCACACTCTTCGGGGTTACTTCTGGAACAACAGCCGCCCTTTCTCCACATTCTTTCCGGGCAACACTTACCTTCCTCCCGTTCACATAGAAAATCAGGTCGTCAGCAGCCGCTCCTCGAACAGACATCTCGCCCCAAGCCACAGCCAGCCGCAGTTGGACGGACCGCCGCAGCAGGCGGAGCCGGGCCAGGGCGGCGGGGGACGGGAGGGGGGTGGGAGAGGGACGGCCCAAGCAGCACCGCGCCCACCGCCGGGGGCTGAGCCTCCGTGCCTCAAAACGTGCCTCTAAACGTGCCTCAAAACGTGACTCGGCAGTTGCTCCTGACATCGACAGTCAATCACGCGGTTTATATACTGGATGCTTTTAAAGTATGAGTTGTTTTTTCTGTCAAAATATGCAGCTGAAATTCTGGCATCTCACAGAAGGACATCAGTTCCCCTTGTTGAATGTCATGAGATTCCTCTTGACCCATTTCTTCAGGCTGTCCAGGTTCATTTGAATGGCAATGGAACCATCTAGTGTTCCAGCCACTCCGCCCATTTTTGTATCCACTGCAAATCTCTGTAGTCTGAACTCTGTTTTATAATAACATTATACAGGTTGTTAATGATAATATTGAACAGTACTGGCCCCAGTGTGAAACCCAAGGGAGCTCTAGTGTTTTGCCTCCAGCTGGAGGCAAACTGGATGCTGCTGATCACAACCCTTTGGGACAAGTGGTTCATCCAGTTTTCAATCCACCTCATATTGCACTTAACATACTTTGTCAGCTTGTCTGTGGAGTTTTGTCAGAGGCAATGTCAAAAGCCTTACTAAAACTGAGACAAACATCTACTGCTCTCACCCACCAACCTAGTTTTCTCACAGCAAAACACCAATAGACTAATAAAGCATCATTTCCCCTTCGTAATTAAATGCCAACTACTCCCAATCATCTTCTTGTCTTTAACATGTGGAAACAGTTTCCAGGACTATTTTCTCCAACAGCTTCCCAGGGTACAATAGGAGCTACAATGAAGTACAAAGAGTACAGTTTGGTTTGGTATTTTTACGACTATATTATGTATTTAAGAGAATTAGTAACACCTCGTAGAAAGAGGTGTACTGTAACACACAAAAGGAACATCTAACCAAAGATCTGGTCTCTGGAAGTTTCAACAGTGAATGCCTTTGGAAAAAGTATAAAAATTTCTACTGCAGGGCTCTTTTCTTTCTGGCTGCCTCCAGCACAAACTCTGGACACGAGACTTCTCTCTGCTGTTCCTCAAGATGAGACTTCCTCATTCAAATTTCAGTGTGATTCTGTCAAAGCCAAAAGTCAACTATCACCCACACACATACACACACACACACTCACATAAAAAGGGACTGTCTCCAACTATTTCAGTATATTAATCAAAATTTGGGATGCTTGTGTCTGTTCCAACCAGCATTTACTCATGATAAGTAAGAAAAACTCACATTAAAATTCCCAAAGGTGATTTATTTTTTGATTATCATTAAAACATACAATTTTCTTACAAATTAAGAAGTGCTGCAAAGCCTTTGAACAGAATTATAAACTAGTGATCAGAAATGAAAAATATAGAGTAAAGCCTACCCTCAGTGTTTGCCTTCCTCAGTAAAGTATTCTGTGTCCCTTATATAGACTCCCTTCCAGGAAATTCCATACCTGAAGACTTTCACTAATCAAAGAACAATAAACACTCTATACAGCTAACCATATAGATATAGTTCAAAAATTGTACCCATTTTAGATGGATTGTTCATAAATGCAATTTGCTTTTCTTCAAATCAATTTGGATTTACTTTTAAAGCTTCTTTTTTTTACTTTATAGACTGGAGAATTCAGAAATTGTGTATCTGTAAACTGATCCCCACGCCTTAATTTGCTGTAAACAGAAGAAATAAAAGACAATGTATGAATATCATGAAGCATCTATGTAACTACAATTATACTACCAAATCCAAATGGTAAATACTCTCAATGAAAGCCTCAATGATACACTAAAGAAATTAGATTTATGGAAATGTGTCTGAAATAGCAAGGCACAGATGATAACTATTTTCCAAACAAATGCTAAACATTGCATCTTTTTATGTGCCCTGTATCATATTAATATGTAACTGTAACTCCATTCCCTAGAAGAAAAAACCTCAAAAATTATTTATACCAAAAGCTTAACAACATCCATTCAGGACAGTATACCTGAAAATCAAATATAAATAGGAGACAGGAATCTAAAATCTTGAGTGACATCCACACTTCTTTTCTGTTGTTAGGTACTGACTCTCTCCAGAAGTACAGAACCTTACCATTGTTGGGTATAAGAGGAGACTGTATAAATATCATAATATTTCAGCATTTAGTATTCAGTTCAATTAGTAAAATAAAACTGTAATTCTAATCCCTGTGCATTTCTTTTACAAGCTATGTGGCATAAGTATTTCTGAAAAGCCAGCAGTAAAGTGAAAAGACACTTCCTACATTACTTTTAGCTCTTACATGTCCTCAGTCTCATGGCTGCAGTTTATTGCTTCCTTATAGAGGTAAACAAAAATATTTTGAGTGTGTATAAGAGTACACGATAATTTAAAAAAAAAGACATACTCCTTTTAAACCTTTGTCATAAAGTTGCTATAATCCTTGCAGTGTCAACACTATTATGGGGAAACTTAAATACTGTCTTTACCTCATGAATATGCATTCTGCTAATACACACAAAACACAGCTTAATTTTTCCTTAAATTAATATTTTACCTAAACAAAACCCCAAACCAAATAAAAAACCCCAACTGACTCAGTGGCAAGAAACTCTCAAAACATATTCAGAAATAATCAACCTAAAGGTCCATTGGGATTTACATGTATTCATGTAAATGCAAATATATTTGTTTTCCTAATGGAAGCTTGGCTTTAAAATCCTGTTTTAAATTTTAATAGTTATTACAAAATTAACGTGTTACCTTTTAACAGTTGTAAATCCTCTGCCACTATATTTGCTAAGAACACTGAGAGTTAAGTAACTAATAATGGCATTAAAATATCTTAAACTCGAAAGTATTTCTTATATTAGACACAGCAAGTTAAAGCAAAATGACTGCATTATGTATTATTAGTGCATAAATTATCCTGCCACTTGACAATATTAAAAGGACATTATTGTGGTACAAGCTTACATTTAAGTATAACATTTACATTATCTGCCTCTAAAGGGGTTTATATCATGTATTATGCATTAAGAATTCACTTATTCACTACTAGTATCAAATGTTATATGCTATATAAATGTTACATTATATGCTATTTTATATGTTGGTGTCTTACTTCAGCACTTGGAGATCCTGCCACACTAACAGGTAATGTTTTTTATCAACACTGAAGAATCTTTCCAAAAGAGATATGTGAAATAAATAGTTCAACTGTTTATTTGGGGGTTTTAATAGCAAATCTTTATTTCAAATAGGTAGGTATGCAAAAAACCCAAAAGCACAAAAGCCCTAATTTACATAAACCTACCTGTTTATTCTGGGCTCTTTGTAGCAAATACTGGCTCTTGTTCGTGTAGATGGTGCTGCTGAGTTTTCTTTTAAGGTTTTGCAGGATTTAGGTGAAGAAGCATGAGATTGTATACTAGTATTTGTAACATCCTGCAAGATCTTTCTCCCTGTGAATACAGAAGTGTAGATGCCTCACTTTAAGTACTTTCAGAACTGAGTAAACTTTCAATTCATACTTATTTAAAAACGTATTTATTAATTCAGGTACTTTGGTTACCAGTCTTACTCTAAAGATGCTCAGTGAAAATGGATAGATGATCAACGGAAAGGTAACTACAACAGCTTTCAGCCTACCCAGATTTGGAGCTGTCTGAGGTCTGCTATGGCTCCTGGGACATTTTAAGCCCCATAAGCACCATAATTTGCAGCCAGTGGCTTAGAACTCCCAAGAGTTACTGCATTTAAAAAGATAGAACTGCACACAGCTCATGACCTTGAATGCAGGGCAGGGGGCATACATGCACGATATAAAGATGCAACCTGTATAAGCGTTCTCTAGTCCTACATTTTCCAATTTTAAGCCTGTTCTTGGGGCACATATGCATAAAAAAGAACATAGCAAGGTGATTAAGTGGGCCTCTTTATCTTCAAAACTGTATACTACCAAACTATTTACAATGCCTCATATCTTGAGCCACTGAATATGCCCAAGAGGATTACTCCTTGAAAAAGAGTAACCAGCCTTGGTAGAAGTAGTACTATTTGTTTCAGCTTTCTGTAATCCCTCTTAAAGACAATTCAAAATGCCAGACTAAACAAGACAAATATTTTGATAACTTGGGACAAATATTGAAATTATTTGTTAGCCTGCATTTCAAAAAGTTCTAACCCATTTATTGGTTATAGTCTCTGAAAAACACTAAGATTTAATGCAGACAGCAATCCAAGATGAAATAAATAATCTGTTTATTCCTTAAAAGTTCTTCCAAGAGTGTACATTCCTCACTGATACAGGTCAAGGTTTAGATTTACTGCATCCATATGAAAATGTTTGGAATATAGTTTTTCAAAGGAACTAAATTTAAAACACTCTTCACTTATCAAGTTTGAATGCCTTTTACCTTAAATTTACCTTAAATTCTCTGTGGCAGCAAATGGATGCTATTTATCTCATAGAATAAATTCACAGCCATATGGGATAAAAGATGAACTTTTTTTTTGTGCTTATCTTCACACTAATAAAATGTATATTTACATACCTGCCAAAAAGTGAAGACTTTATTATAGCATCTAAAGGCTTTGTCCAACCTAGTATACACACTCTTAACTGATGGTCAAGATGATAAAGCTGAATTCTACTACCCTGTAGTAGAATTCTGTACTGAGATCAAGTAAAATATCTCACTGGGTAAGACTGATCATTTCACCAATAGTTTTCTGAAATGTGTGAAGCAAAGACATCAAGTCAGAGTATTTCTGCTAACTTCTGAGAGACATATTAAGGTGACTTCGCGCAGCTTGCAGCAAATCTGACCTGATTTATGAAGGCAAAAGGAAAAGCACTGTCTTTGAAGGAGTTTGTTAAGGAAGAGCAATGTTCATTTGGTGCAAACAAGAGTGCTCCCTGATCATGAAAAACCTCCCAAGTTTGGCTTTAAAATCTTGATTTGTACTGGTTTTAAAGTGAAAGTTAACTGATACTCCAAGCTTTTCCTAAAGCTTAAGGTTAGAGATCAGTTCAGATTCTTTTAAGCGCTAAGAGTTTTGAGACATCTGTAAGTCTGCATTATTTAGGAAAGCAAAATGCCTGCATGAATATTTATGTTCATATAGATCTAATTATATAGAGACTTTCATCACAGGAGACTTTCAAGGTATATTTCTAAGTACAGATCAAGGTAGTGATCAGAAGAGCTGGCATCATCAGAAAGTCTGGCATTTCCTGGCTTTCTTTTCATTGAAGATACAGGTCTGGATACAGAATAAAAAAGGAACTGGTTTTTGAACTATGGTTAAATGGATGAAGATCAAATGACTGGCTTGCTTTTTATGACAGTAGTCTTTGATACTGCTGATCACAAGGGTTTACTAATTTATCTGTAAAGCTAATACAATTACAGGATCCTTCTTCTACTTTCCAAAGAAGGAATCAAAGATGAGAAGATGCAACTACAAATTACGAGGACTAATACCTTGCACAATGGTCTAATTCTGCCGGTATTCCTATTCTGTGGTCATGTAAAACAGTAGATTTTTTTTTTTTTTTGCCACTGTGTCCTAGTATTCAAAAGAAGCCAAGACAGTATTTGCTTGATAGTTTGGTATTCAAACTATTAATGTTGAGCCAGGAAACAGTCTAGGTGTTGGGACGTTTTCAGAGACAATGAAGTAAACAGGAACCTGTCGGGAATAAATGTTTACAAAATAGACCACTCATGACAGGAAACTTCAAAGCTACATTGTAAAGCATGTTTAAACTCTAGCACAGATGTTCAGACATACATTCTTTTAGCTCCTTTACGGTAATTTTGTTGTATTACAGAAGAATCTAAACCGATCATTCAGACTACACTAAAGTTTCTTTTCTCAACATATCTTACTTAATAAAGAGGTTGTCTCATGAGAGTTTGCTCATGGGTAGATTCTACAGAAAGCCTGCTTAAAGTACTTTTTATTAGATCTCAGAATTCCTGTTGAGTTGCAGTGTTTCTGAAGAAATACAAATGAACTCTTTAAGTCCAGCTATGTTCTCTGTTTATGAAGGGAAGAGTATAAAGTTCACTTTTATTTCCCTTGTACAAAAGCTCCATCCATTGCATCTATCTCAAACTTTCTGAATTCCATCACATTCTTTGAAAAATGTTCCAACTGTAATTGCTCTTCAAGAATGTAGACTACTTACATCTGTACAACTAAATGTCAGCTTGGAATATACTGAAAAGTAACAATGATATTAGTTCCCACAATGACTGGTAATTAATACAGAATATGAATATTTTGGGTAATTTTCAGTCCCACCTTTTTAAACTCCTGTTTTATCCACTCTAAGCAAGTGGTAAGAGTAGGATAGAATTAAAAGAAGGTAACTTACCACTATTTCAGGCACTACCTAATTCAAAATGCTACTTTTTTCCTCACCCATTCACATACCATGACAAGGTGTCAGAGTCTTTTTGTGAGTCTCTTTAGAAATTTGATCCATTTTTTTTTCTGCTTTTCCAGCATCCAGTGCTTTATTATGATCATTTTCCTCACTGATTTCAGAGTTTTTCAGTACTGAGAAGTTCATGGAACCACTGTGGTTGTCAAGAACTGGGAGCTCCACATTGGAATGACCTTCCTGGAAAAAGCTATCTACATTTAAGGGCATATTCCTAGAACACTTGAGAGGTAAGAATTCAAAACCTTCTGATTTTTGAGCTGTGGCCTTTAACTTGATCATAAAGGAATCTATCCCATGAGGGCCTTCCTGGTTATCCAAGATATTCTGTGGCCCCTGATCAAGATGCTTGGAATAATTTATTTCTGGTCTGGTCTCAGTAGTATCAGAACTAAACCTCTGTTTGCACTTTACCCGATTATCAGGAGAATTACTAATGTGAGGCTGTTTATGTGCCACTGATGAGGGATCTACTTTCTTTAACTTATAAGCATCACCATCAACTAGTTCTTTATCTTGTGGTGTATTCATAGCTACATCATTCTGGGTAACTAAAGCTGCTTCCATTTCTGGAGTTTCACTTATTTTATTTCCATGTACAGCCTCTGCATGCAAATGATTTGTTAAGTCTTCATTTTTACGAAGTGAGAACTGTGCATGATTTTCTTTTGGTATTATAAATGCTTTTCGGCTAGCCTTTGCCAACTGTGTATGATTTTCTTTTGGTATTATCAATGCTTTTCGGCTAGCCTTTGCCAACGTTCTCTTTAATCTGCCTGGCGAAAAATGTCTAAGCTTTTGGTCTGCTTTCTGAGTAGTTTTATGAATGCTGTCACTTTCAGTTTCTTCACTTTGGCTGTAACTTCTTTTGTTGCTGTATTTTCTCTTTATGATTCTCTTCTGGTCTTGTTTTCTTTTGCTGTCGTATTGGTCTATTTCTGTTTGAGACTTTTTTGAAATGTATTCTCCACATGGCCCGCTTTCCTTTCTACAGTATTTTGCTGTGTTGATTTTAGAAGGGGTTTGAAAAGTCTTCCTGTTTATTTTTGGGCTGCTATGTTTTTCATTTGCATGAATAAAGTCCAACTGTAAAGGCAATACATTAGAAGTGTTACCTTGGAATGGTAAATTTTCAGCACAGTAAACTTCTGGCGCAATCTGGTTAATAGATGAGTTTGAGTCTGCTTTTTGTATTTTGCTTTCCATGTCTTTCAGTGTTTCTGGGCAAGTTTCTTTATCTGTCTCCTGTTTTCTTGGACTCCTTAAGTTAACTTGGTCTGTCCTCCGAGTACATTTAGCTTCACTTGGGCAATTTTGTGCTTGACAATCTTTGCTGGTACTCAGCTTCCCTACAGGATTTCTTGTAGGTAGCTGTTCTGTCTGATTTTGGAATAGTTGAGTTTGTGACTCCATAGTTTTTGAAACTTCACTGTTGTCAGCCCTTGTGTGCCTTTCTTCTGCATACAAATCTGAATGGACTTCAGTCTTGCTTTTAATTTTCTCTTTATCCTTCTTAGAATATTTTGCTTTTCTGAAATTCGTTAATATTTTATCATCAGAATTGGCATTACTGTTTTTATTATGGTGTAACTTATCTTTATCTTTCACTGTAACTGCAAGTAGTTCTCCTGCATCACTGGCAGTCAATTCCATATCTGCATCATAAACAGTTTCTTCACGCCTCATCTTATCAGTCAAAAGCAGCTTCTTAAAATCTGTCCTACTTTCATTGTTAAATTTAAGAGCTGAAGGATTAATGCGAGACAAGTCACTTGAACTTTCCTGCAAATTTGTATCATTAGTGTTGCTGATGCTGTTGATACCATGGTAAGGCAGATTATCTGAGCTACATTTTTTATCAAAATCCTTTATATTAAGTTTAGGTTTTGACTTATGAAGTTCTTTATCTTTCTTCCTTTCAGTCACATTTCCACTGAGTGGCAATGAACTATCATCATGCTGTTTTGTAAGCTCCTCAGGCTGTCTTAGAGATTGTGTATTTTTGACATGAGTCAGGAGGACACTATCGCAAGTTAGTTCGGTGTGTAATTGATTTTCTGCAAAGACAAAAATTTTAGCAGCTTGGGGAAAGAAAGACTGGAGTATAGTTATCAGAACAAGATTACTGAGAGTTGGACCAGAAGCATGGAAAATGACAAACTCTTTTTTAACTGAATACACACATTCTGTGATTGGTCCTTAAAAATTTCATTAACTACAGCTAACTTTATAATTTACCAATGTTGGACTTTTGAAATTGTCTCTAAATAAAAAGGTATTTTTCTATAACAAATACAGTTCGTCTTTGGTTATCTTACTAAATTTATTCTGTTCACATCAATTTGTTACATTTCATCTGCGTTATTCCAATTAACATTCTTCTACAAGTGACTGTCAGCACACCTTTACTTATTGGGTGAGAATTCCATTTTTTGTTAGTTTATTACAGTTTAAGAATCTTACTATACCTTCTGTATCACACTTCAAGTAATGAATTATTAAATACTAATTCTCAGATAGCTCTGAAAAAAAAAAATCACCTGTACAGAAATACAACATACCTTTAAAAAATATATTTTTATCAATGGTTGTTTCCACTGAGTCTATTTCAATTAACTTTTGATTATTTGTACCAGAAGGCAATGATAATGCAAATTTGACTTGACCTGAATGCATTCTCTTTGGCAAAATAGTGGTACACTTAGGAGAATTTGGTAATTCATACAAAGAAGGTCTATCTTGCTGTTTTGCATTAGCTGTGGCAATTAAAGGAAGCTTCACTGGCAATTCTAGAGATCTGAAAAGAGGAAATTTTACTTTGAAGAATTTTATTACAGTTTATGTTATAACATTCAGTTTAAAACATTCCTTTAATAATATATAAAAGCAGAAAATGAAGAACCCTAGTACTCTATTACTCTAGTAAGTCAGGAGCAAATATATATTTTTTAATGATAGAGAATCCTGCTTTGTGCTGGTGAGATCCCACAAACAAAAGCAGCAAGCTATTAAAACACAACTTTTGTCTACCACTCTCTATATAAATTCCAAGTTGCAAATAGGTAATTTCTGAATTAGACTGGAAATTGTTTCCTATTACCTCAAAAATTTTTAGGACAATATACAAAGATTAGTTGTAAAAAAAACACCCCACAGTCACTTACCAACTTCCGCATTTAATACAACCACCTACCTAGCAGAACGACAGGTACTCTTGAACTGGTCATCAGTAGGGCTACTTGGACAACCTGACAGAAGATAACTCTGAAGAACCGAAAGAAGAACAGTGGGAACAGAAACAGTTGAATGTTCTCTTATGTTTTAAGTATCAGTAATATTCACAGGAGAAAAAAAAAAAAAAGAATGGCCAAAAAATAGAAGTACTGATGAGAGATGTATGTATGATATTCAAATAGAGAGAGTAATTTTAAACAAAATGCTTTGTAGCAAAACTTATCAAAACCTGTAACCTACCTGCATCCCAAACAATGTAAAGACCTTTTAAAATTTAGCTGTAACTAACACAAACTGTATTATACATATAGTAACACAGAGCAACACTAAGCAACTGCAGAACAGACTATAAAATTAGTATCTTTTTAAAAATCAACTGTAATTTTGCCATGACACAAGGAGTAATATGGATTATGTTTTCTAGAGAAGTTTCCACATGCAACATATTAATTGCAGCACTAAGCAAAGAAAGCAAGTAGCTCGGTCATTGGTGAAGAGTGCCACATACTGAATGCTATCCTTTGTTGTTTTTTTTTTTTAATCACATGACTTCATCAGGGCTAACTGATATGTAACTTTTAGGTGCTTTGTAAACAAGATTAAATCCTAAATTTTTACTGCAAGCAACAGCAAAATGTAATTGATTTCTGATTTCACTAGACTGGGGTTTCATCCCAAGTTTTAAGAACTTAAATATTTTAAATATTGCACTCATTTAGATCCTTTGAACGTATTATCCTGAAAAGTGAGTTCAATATGGTAATAGTGCGAAAAACGTCTTACCTCAGAAAGACTGCTTATTTCTATTGCATTTAAGAGTTTATAATTCAAAAATGCTTCTATTTCTATAAGAGTTGTATTCTGCATGTAAAAGAAAAAGCAATTTTAAATAGATGAATTTTAAGTGGTTTCTGACTTAAGATCTAGAGGTGAATCTATGTTGTATTATTTGTAATGCTCAGTTGAGCACAAACTCATTTTTAATACCATCTCAATATCAGTAAATATAAAGGAGACACTGACACTAAAATAGCTATGGATAGACATATACACTGATGGACAAAATGGTAAGTACCAAAAAATTCCATGAAAGCATAATCAAACATGAATGCTACCAGATGAGACAACTTCACAGACCTGAGGTGTATATTTTTTAAATCACAATTTTAAGAAGCAATATTAAGTTACAAAAAAAAAAAAAAAAAAAAGCTTGGTTTAGCTGATCTAAGTTTAAATTACATTATTTGCAGCATACCAAACAACTTAGTTTTCGACGAAGCAAGATATTATGAAGCTGGAGCTTTTCTACTTCCTTCTGAAGAAGGATGTTCTCATTCTTGAGCTTCCGAGAATTTTCTTTCTCCACGCTCAGAGCCACAGCTAATGCTTTATTATTTTGTTTTAAAGATACTTTTAACACAGATGAGTTATCTAAAGGAGACAAAATGATTATTTTTTAACAGCTTCAGTGCAGGCCCTCTCTCCATTAATTATCACTGTATAATGACATTTTCATCTGTAGGCTTTGGTGGAAGAATAGTACTTCCTAATATAAAACTGTTTCTGCTGGGCGCCATTCTGATGACAACTCTGTCAACTTCATGTTCAAGTTTATTTCATGCAAGGATTCTGCTCTAATCTGGATTTTTTTTATAAGGTTATTTTAAGAAGAAAGTGTTTAGAAATTGCATTTCACAGGTGTAAAAATGTTTCCAAATTTCTAAAAACCAAATATGCATTTTACAGATGAAACAGTTCAAACATTTTGAGCATAAATGTGAGGTTTGACAACAGAAAGAAAATATATTAAAATCAGAAATATACCCTCCATTATCCTAATGAAAACCTGCCTGCTTTTTTTTTTATTTTACTTTTTACCCCCAGTGACACTGCATATTACCAAGACAGTAAGCGTCAAAGAGCAAGCACTGAAAATTAGACATTAGGAAGAAAATCTTTACAGTGAGGGTGCTGAGGCGCTGGCACAGGTTGCACAGAGAAGCTGCAGCTGCCCCATCCCTGGCAGTGTTCAGGTTGGACAGGGCTTGGAGCAGCCTGGTCTTGTGGAAGGTGTCCCTGTGTGTGGCAGGGGGTTGGAACTGGATGATCTTTAAGGTCCCTTCCAACCAAACCATTCTATGATAAAATGGTCAGGGAATTGCATAAATAAACAACTTACAATCATGTGTTGTGTCAGACTCTCCTAAAATTCTCTACATTAATGTCTTTAACAGGCAGGAACTGAGCAGCTCATGTTAAATACAACTGCTATTCCTCTTGAAGTCATACACTCTAAGTACAGTAGATTGCTTTGGTTTTATTTTAATAGGACTTACTTATTAACTTAGTCTTAATTTTAGATGCTAAGGAAGCATTCCATTTTGCAGCTCGTAATGTTCCATCCCTCTTCTTCATGTGTCCTTTAACAGCATCCGAGGTGAAAATGATAGATGATTTAGCATTGGCTTTTTTATCCATCATTGGAATGAACCTGTACATTGTCAAAGGGAATGTCCAAGTAATACATGATCTTTCTCACACTTAAAAATTTCATTATCTCTTACCAGGATTTGTCATCTCTAAAGCTGAGAAAACTGCTTCAGTCTTTACCTCTGTTCAATCAATTCAGTCAGGTTAATGAATTACTCCAGACTTAAGTTACATTATGACAGAGTGGCAAAATATTTAATAATCATGAAGACTAAAAGGATCACGGATTTTTGAGCTTGTTCATTCCCTCAAGTTACCTACTGGAGTTTACACTTTAAAGGGAAAAAACACAAGGTTCTATCACTTCACAATATGACCATACCAGCTTGTTCTTCGTCAGGACCAATTTTAATTCAAAGCATCTACACAAGGCGCATTGAAAATGCTACAAATTTAAGCAAACGGCATGCACAGGAGATAAACGGAGCCCGCTCCCGCCGCCCGCCGGCCCTCGGCTCCCTCCCGGCCCCACAGGCGAGACCCAGCGCGAGGGCGCCACCTCCCGCCTCGCCGCAGGGGCCGCCAACGGCTGCGCGCCCGCCAACGGCCGTTGGGCGGCCGCCGCTCCGCTCCGTTGGCTCGAACCGCTGCTGACGGGCCTCGCAGCCCGCGGGGGAGCAAACAGTCCCCGAGCGCCCCAGTCAGGCCGCAGGGGGCACAGCGCGGGCCTGCACGTGCAAACTGACCGCGCCCGCGTTTCGTGTTGGATGAAGCGTTGCTCAGAATTAAGCCACAGTGCAGCGTCTTCATAAAACAACACCGGGAAAGCCGGAAAAGATGACAAAACGACCCGAGAAACAGTAACACTCCGTGCTTCATAAATCGAAGGTAAAACGCACAGCTAGAATGTATACAAACCGCAGCCCGTATCTACAGCTGGATTTATACCACAACCAGCATTCACCTTTCCTGATGCTTTGTTGATAAAACAGGAAAGATGCTGTAGTGGATTTGTCGCGTACATGCAAAATCACCCATGTTAGAATAGCTCATGGGTACTCTTACATACATATGGCTACAGTCATTTCTTGTCAGAAATGGGATATTCTAAGTTATTAACTTTTAATCCATGTTTCCAGTTCTTTTAGTGTTTTCTAAAAAGGAGCCAGGTGTGTGTAACTCTTCAACTATGTGTCTTTGCAAAACCATTTTAAATAGCAACCATTAGTGATGTTAAAATAAAAACTAAGTATTAATTGTATAAACACCTAGCATCAGTCTCATTATGCTGGGATGAAGGGAGTAGGGAACTACGGATAGTCCACTTGTCAGATTTTGACAGTATTACGCTTTCAGTTCAAAGAGCTCCTTTAGGTTAAAAGGAGAAAGCCACGTAATTCCTTCCCAGTGGAAAGTTAAAACTTCTTTCTGGCTGATCTTTAGCTATTAGTAATAGATGAAATGACAAAAAATGAATAGACAGACATCAAGACAGTTATGAAAACAACAGCGCTAAATTTAAAAACCAATATATTATAGCAAGTATGCAGGCTGCCTGCATACTTACCAGCTTGTAAGGGTAGGAGTCTCTGATGTTAGAATGTGAGCAAACCCACTTTTACTTTGGTGCAGGTAATATTAGGACTGGGAATTGCAAGGAAGTATTTTAGTCTAATAAAATGCCTTTCCTCAAAATGTGTTCTGAGCCCAAAGGCCTTTGCTCTTTAACACTCCCTTCACATACATTCATTTCCAGTGGCCCAGTCCTCCCATTAGCTCAGGTGGACATTAACTCTTAATATTGATCCAGAAATCCACAAATTAATAGTAAATTGGTTTGTGAAAATCTCAAGAGATTTTTAATTTACTTGATGATTTATAGATTTGGAAGGTTGACATAAAGCATTATGTTCCATAATGCAGTAATCGTCATTAAAATCTTACCTTTCCACATGCTAATATTACAATATGCTATAAAGTAAATCAAAGGAAGCATACATAAGCATCAGTGGCATTATTTGAGAATGTATATTTATCAACTTACGATTTTCACAATCTGCTACAAACAGCATCTGGAGAGTCCCTCTTTTCTTCCTTAATTTATTATTCTTTATATATATTCTTTAATATATATTCTTTAATTATATGATACATGGCATGGTTTCCCAGTGTAGCCCTGAAGCTGCAAACCCTGTACTTCTATGCAATCCCCTTAAAACACAGATTTGATCCAGCACACCTTATGTGCCTTTGGTATATTTCCCCTTACTAGGCAACTTGGAAGAGACTGTAGCCACTGTAAAAGTCTGGCCAAATAAAAGAGCAAATAACCTTACATAACTTTAAAAATAGAAAACCAATCAAATAAAGCTTTACCTCCTTATTCTTTCCAGAAGGCAGTGTTTTCGACCAGAGCCAATCGTGAGTTTTCATTTCCTCCAGTTTTACAACAGTCCCAAGTCCTGAAGGGGCAATTGCCAATTTGTTTCCATTTAATGTTTATGTCGCTACTGTGGGCAATAAATTTAAAGCAAAATGTGAATTACTGCGTTTCCACCTGTGGTCATACTTTCCTTTACACTACACTGAGGAACTCCCATACTGTAACATTTCACATGTAAAAATCTCTAGTTAATTGCCAGCTGCTCAAAATGGGGAAGAGCTTAAAGCACTGCCAAGTTTCACAGCCTATAAATCTTAAACATGTATTAAGAGCGGAATTCTGGTTTTGGGGCATTTGGGATCCTATGACTGGTCTTTAAAATAAACAGAAATGAGACGTAGTCAGAGAAAGACAGACATGCAGAGAGACCTGCTGCAAAAGCCCTAACCATGTGGGAATTGAATGTGTATTGAAATTGTATCTTACTACATACCTGCAAATCCACCTCTGAGAAGAATCTTGGTGGAAGAATTAATTCCATAGGGTCTAGTAAAGTATGAGTTATTACTAAAGCACTCCTGGGTAGATTATGTAGAACAGCTTCTCCTTCTGCAGATTCTTTGATGTCCAACAAGACTTGAGTTTGTGCTGCAGTTTTTCCTTTAATATTAAGACCACACCTTCCTCTAATCGCACCCTTTCTTTGCAGAAGCTTAATGAAAATCCATTTCTTAATGCCTTTTCCCCTCTGTAAGATCTGACTGAAATTAGCAAATTTAAACACAAATATACAGAGGATGTGTGTAAGCCTGGCTTCCTTTGGAAATTAGTGAAAAACAAAACAAAGTCCCCATGTTCACTTCCCAAGAACATGCAGCTGAAAAGGCAGTTTGTTCACGCAGTCTTGTTATGCTGCATGCTTCTATACCAAATACATGCTGTACTGACCTTGAATAGTAACGATATTTCACATAGTTAAATCTGAGGTCCAAAACATACTGCATTGAGTACATATACTGACTAACACAAGGAGAAAACAAGCACAGGAAGCTGCAACTTACATTAAGTGAATGTTTTACAGTGAGAAAAACTGGAGGTTAAACTTACAGCATATTGTAACATGACAACAATGACCACATTTAAGTTGCAACTGCTGTTTATGAACCATTCACAGAGAGTAGGGACAACAGACATTATATTCTTACTAAGATACAGCTAAACCAGACACCATTATTCCACAAAAGTAATCTATTATACCTATTTTTACTTATGTTATAGTAAATCCAACATCCATGAATTAATTATCAGCCTGTATCACATTCAGTGGCATCTTGTAACTTGTGTGTTTATTTAATTAATTAGATATTAAGCATTAAAGACCTGGCTTCTGGGTACATTCTTAGCCAAGAACTGTTCAGAGAGCACAGGAGAGCCACGGTGCTTGGCAGGCCATTTAAGCTCTGCATGGTTAGCTGCTGAAAAAGTGAAGTATATATTTACTGCAGCTTTAACTGCCATACCAATACAAATCAGCATTAGGATAAAAAGTGAGCTCTAAGTAGCAAGTGATCCCTCAAGAGTACACAATTTCAAAGATAAATTCTCCTGTTTTTACAAGCCATCTAAATCATACCAGATGCAGTATGATTCAGAGGGCTCTTCCCTTCAATGTCCTTCACTTGACTGAAATCTGAATTACAAGTCTATGCTCCTAAATGTTAACTGAAACTACAGTAGCTTATAAATATTTACGTATTCTCAAAATCAAAATGTAGTAACAGACCAGAATACAGCAAACTGCACAGCTATAACAGCAGCTGTTCTGTGACTGTTACTCATCCTTTAATTTGACCCTGTAGCAAATGAGCTTGCAGTTGAAATTTTAAATACCTTAAATGTGGTAACAAAATGTCAATGAGTAAAAATCCAGGACAACACAGGATGAAAATCAACATGAATTACAGCTATGACTGAGCTAATTTGCTATGTAAATACAGATAAACTATTTAATATAGGTACGTTTCTTATATGTGCAGTGTACAGCTAAATAACTGGATTTTTAGTGGACCTCAGATAGCAATTAAAATATATTGCTGACATTTGGGATTTAGTTACTTCTTACTGTATCTTCTAAACATACAATAGCTTATGCTTTCCAGAAAGCTTCCAGAAACTACTTGTTATTTGGCAGTTGTATCCACAGGGATATGTTATGACAAAAAAGAAACTTTTCTCTATCTAATTACAAAGTTAAGCAGGAATTACACATAAAGTTCCAAACTTTTTGTTAGTTTGGGTTTTTTCTTTTTTAATTTACTTTTAGGAAATAGCGCTGCCTCACCTGTACAGAAACTTGGCATAATGAGGCTGAGACGAAAGCATAGTGAGAATCTAATTCCTTTACCTTTCCATTGTTTGTGCCTGCATTTTGGTGAGCAAGCAACCATATGTCAGACACAGACAATCTAACTGGACACTGCTTCTGCAAGTCTTTGTGAAATGGCTGTGAAGCACCTTGACTACATTTTTCTGTGCTGTTTTAATGCATAAAGCGTTTGCTCTGAAAAATGTATAGAAGTCTGCAGCAGAACTTCCCCCACGTTTCACAGGCAAGCACCAGGAAAGCAAATTAGAAGCTACAATGCCTGCACTTGTATATACCAGTTAGAACTAAAGAGACTGCTACTGGCACACAGCTCTCAAGTTGGTCTGGTCAAAGGGACGCACAGTCATGTCAAAGTAGGCCAGAAAACACCAGCTGACCTGAGGCTACCTTTTTTTTCTGCCATTGCTCCCTATTTTAACCAAAGCAGCCTTTTCCATCTTAACTCGGAGCACGTACCCAGCACATCACCCTTCTGAAATCACCTATCTCAATGCTGCAACTCCAGATGCACAGCAGCAGCAGAAACCAGCGCCCATGCCTGGGCTTCCACCTCCGGCCAAAGGTGGTGTCCCAGCCCGAGCTGACCAGAAAGGGTTTGAGACCTCTGTGAAGTAAAATGGGAACACTATGGGTTAGAACAGCTCAAGCTGTGATATTATTGAAACTACAGGAAACGCAACTGAGTCAAACCACTCGAGTAAACATTTACTTGTAATAAATAAAAAAATAGTAAGATTAATAGGAAAGGTTTCCACCTTACAGAGTAGCCAAGTTTACGTGGGTCAGCCTTATTTCACCGGACACTCACACCAACGACGTGCTTGAGGGACCCCTCCGAGCAAAGCAGGGGAGGCAGGAGAGGCAGAGGCGGCAGGGCCGGCAGGGCCGTGGGCGCCCCTACCCTCGGCTGGCCCTCGAGACCGCGGGCAGGGAAGCCCCTCTCCTCTCCCCGCTCGGCTCCCGTCCGGCCTCTCCTACTGCCCAGCCGCCATTTTGCGGAACCGCGGCGGCTTCTCAAGCGGCCTTGCCCGCTATAGGCTCGGGGACGCGGCCCAACAAAGCGGCTCTGCCGCGGAAGGCGGCGGCGAGGGATAGCGGCTGCCCGCGGCCCAGGGAGGGGCGGGGTGGGCTTCTCCCTGCTTCGGCGGAGCAGCGCCGCAGCAGCGGGGGATTGCGCCTCGGGCCAAAGCAGATACCCGGCGGGAAGGCGCGTATCAAGTCGGTAATCCTTAAAGGGCGTGCTCTACCCCACCCCCCCAGAAAAGAAACCAAACCCACAGACAAACCAAAACATCCCCCGTCCTCCCCCCAAAAACCTTTAAAAAATAAACAAGTTTAAAATATTTTCTTTTGCTTCTTGTGCCACTCTTTTCTGCCCTGACAGGGCCCCCCTCTGCAGGGAGCTCAAGGCAGGCACGAGTATTTATTGGCAATGTGGCATTAATGGATGTGATAGCTTCAACAACTAGCTAAAGCAGCCCTAATTGAAGGTAGGATTTTAAAGAAGTTGGTTTTCATGCAGAATTACTGCATGTTCAGTGCTGTGAACTATACTTGACGCAAGATTTCCCAGAATGTCCTTCCAGTGCTCTGCTCACATGTTCTGACCATGAAGTTCTGCTTACCCATTTGTGTCAGAAGCAACCTTTGTGTTTTCTAGATAAGTAAAATGCCGTGGTTTTTAATAGTGAAGGTGTAGACTATTTGGCTATTTACACCAATATATCTCCTGAACTGTTTTCAAAGCTGATTTACTATATTGCTGCGTAAAAACATCTAAGGGCTGAGCTCATTCACTTCCAGTCTTAACTGGCATTATGTTTTCTTTTGTTTATACCTGTTTCAGGTTTGAATAGCTCACAATTAACATCATGATTTGCAAATGCAATGGAAGGGGACAAGACTGAAGATGGCCAGGGTATTCTACAACTTAATGTGCAGGGATGTGTGTACACAGCCAGGCTTGAGTCTATGCTGTTTTAAGGATTCAGTGCTAGCTTCTATGTTTAGTGGACGCTTTCCTGTAAAAGTGGATGAGTCAGGTAAATATGTTCAAGCTGTAAATATGATTCTGATCAGGGAGCTCTGTGGCAAATACATGCTTTTGTATATACTTGTGCATTTTACAGTATATCTCTTTTCCAATCTGCTGAGCATCAGTTGGCTTCTTTAATTCCAGGATGTAAAACGATTAAGTGTGCATGATTTAGGGGTAATTAATCTGGATTCCAAGCACTACTCATGTTTGTACAGTGCTTACTGTGCCTTGTCTCAGACCAAACTGGGGTTTTGGAACGTATTTCTTCAGTAAGAATATGAAACTGAAGTTTATGAACCCCTATATTCTCCAGAGACACCTTGCTCTGTTCATTACATAAGGAGATTTGGGTCCAATCTTTGAGAAAGATTACCTGGTAAAGGTTGCGTTTTTCACTACCATGGCTTAATAGGAAAGCTTGAATAAATTATTCATGGGTCAGATTTCACACTTGTTTGTGACTTGGAAATCCTGCCAAAATATGTCCAGCTTAAAGATATGTAATAGATACAGTAATTCCTTGTTGTATGCTTTTGACCGTTTAAAATATCTGAAATGTTTAGCATTTTTCTGGGCAGGGTTTTGCTGCCATCTCTCAGTTGCAGTAAACAGCCTACTGCATGCAGCTGCATGTAGTCTGGTCAGTTTCCGTTGTGGTCCTTGAGCCTAGCAGGCAAAGGAGAGAAAAAGCAATATTCAGGGAAGGTTGGAATAGATGTGTGCTGGAGCTGATGCTAATTTTAACTCTCTTAATTGCCTAGATCCAAAACTGGGAAAAAAACCCAAACTCTGCAATAGCAAGAAAAGATGTATCTGCAGTTAGAATTAGAAATGCATCCAGAATTAGATTTCAGCATTTTAAGTGAAGTGCAATACAGCTGAGGTTGTATGTTGGCATGGGCCTATGCAGATCAGTGATTTCACTGAAATTCCAAATAAATGTTTACAGCACTGAGAATCTTATCTTCAAATAACAAATATTCCAGGGAAATGAAATAGTAGTTTTAAAAGAACAGAGACAGTAAACTTACTCGTCCTAAGTAGGTAAAACCAGTACAGAAACTTTGTATAAAGGCTTTGCTTGGTAGTCTGTCTTCTCTTGCTGGAAGCAGTATTTCAAATAATTTATGTTTTCAGGAGCATGTGTAATTGACCGAAATGGAAGACTGTTTAAATATCTTTTGGATTATCTGCATGGAGAAATTTGGATTCCTGAAGATGAACAAACTCGAATTGCACTGCAGGAGGAAGCAGATTATTTTGGCATCCCTTATCCATACAGTCTGTCTGACCATTTGGCCAATGAAATGGAGACGTATTCTTTAACGTCAAATACAGAGCTTAAAAACGTCTTAACATTTCTTACATTTTTAAAGATCTACTGTCTAATCCACATCATTCATTAGCATCAGATACTAAAACTGTAGTATATGCAAGTTAGCACTTTTTAATTACTATGTTTAATTATCAGTAAATTCAAAGGTTTAGGTTAAGAAAACTTAAGAGTTGATAATGCAGTCATAGTAGTTAAGGACATGTTAAATTAAGCTTTTCCCATCACTGCAATACAGGAACAGTTTAAGTGGACTGTTTACATGCAAGTCTGCTGGAGAACTTGCGCATTAGGAACAACATTGTTTAGCTCCCTTCAAATTTTACTTATGATTAGATTTGATCCCTTCAGGATGTTTGAGGGTTTGGCCTTTTTTCAGTTTTACGAATTCTTCCTGAAACTCAAAAGACAAATGTACTTTGCCATTTTTTTAGAACAAGAAATAAGTGAATGTATTATTTAAAACCCTAGGGTTTGTCTGTTCTAAAGTATTGTAACTTAAAAGCTAATTCTAATTTGCTGATCAGAAATTAACTCCTATTACCAGGTCTGTGTTTCATGACAGTCATCTGTGTTCTCTTAGTAAGCTACTGTTCCACACATTTCACATTCTCCCTTACTCATTTCCTTTTGAAAAGTATAAAATACTTCCAGGTCTTCAAGTTTTTCTCTGTATTAGGGATCTGCCATGCC